ATATAACATGAAGCATATAACATAAAGTATGTAATAAAATCTGCATCAAATCCAGCAAAATTCCTGCCTAAATCATTTTTAACAGTAAAGGCTCACTGAAGGAATTCAATAATGGAAAAAAGACTATTCCTTAAGTGTAAAGGTAAAAAAAAAAAAAAGGAATGATAGTTATTTTAGAATCCAAGTTTGGAAACATTTTTTGCAGTAAGGCTCCCACCTCTTCCAGAAGTGCTTCTATAGGCAAAGAGAGTGAGTGACTTTTGGAAAACCTGAGGCCTCTTCAGAGGTCACTTTATAATCTCTCCATGATTCAGAAAAACAGCAAGAGCTTCCCCCCAGCTGATTACTATACCACAACTTTCTCTGTGCTATCTCTAAATCTTGGATATACATCTATTGGAGCACTTATCTCATTAACCTCAATTAATTTTCTTGCATGTTTATTTTTGCTCTGGGCAACTCAAATACAAAAACCGTTCAAATTAATTATGGATCCTTAGCACCTCACTGGTGCTTAACTAGCGTTTTTGTTAAGAAATAAACCCCAAATGCTCCTTGGCCACTGTCTTCTGATTCTCAGTTGAAGTTAAGAAATGCATATAAATTTTAACATTGGTTTGCAAAAAACACAATTCAGTAATACAGACATTCTACAGATACTGCATAGATTCCCCTCACATCTTTTAAATCAATATTAATTTCTAATTTCATTTTTAAAATAAACTCTTTCCAAGGTTTTTCAAACCCAGTGGTGGCTCATGGTGAAGCTTTCTGGGTCCTAGGCAAATTCGTGTTATACTTTAAAATGTCCATTCGTGTTACTTTAAAATGTCCTTTCTTTTATGACATAGGTGATAATGGACACTATGTAAATAAATGTAAATAAATGCCAAAATGAATCATAGTTGTGATCTTTTCATGTCATGGCAAACATGAAAATGACAATACCCGTACCCAAAGCCTCGGGAAAGTGCTACGTGGCACATCCACGACAAAGCGCCCTCTAGCGGCAGATGGTATGCATAAACTCTTACCTGCCAGAGTAATTTCTGAATTCAGGATGTTTACTCAGGAAGCCATACAAGGTAATGCTAAAATAGAACTTCAACTGTTGTCAGTTTTTACATGGTTGCAAAAAACGGTTTAAAGTGTTTTATTATTATATGAGAAATTTCCCACCATCAATATCTCACAGCTGACTTGTAATCTACAGGGGGTTTCTGCTCTACTATACTCTTCAGGAGCCTGTTTATTGCTCTTAGTTATATTTACATTTAAAGTGAAAAGGCTGATTAACTTAAGCAATCCACATCTATAGTGATTAAATTTCAAGCAATGAAAAGAGCCGCTGTGTATGGGGGGGAGTTTTTTTTTTTGGAGGGGGTGGGCTTTTTTGTCACTTCTAAGTCACATTTATTATCTCGTTTGTTAAGATTGGTCTTGTTTCATAAGGCAAGCAGTTGGCTACATGCATTTTAAACACCTGCACTCATTATTTATTAGTAGCATATGAATATTTTGGAATGGTTAAGAAGAACTGGAAAGGTGGTAAAATGCCAATGCCAAAGTCAATGTAGAATAGTGGGGACTAAGAACTGGGGAAAGAAAGCACTGTCTTATGTTCTAATTAGACAGATCCTAGGAAAGGTTACAGTTTACAGGTTACTGGGAAAAGCTGGCCGCTAGAGGAGGCCATCTCAATCACCTATGCCTGTGCTGGTGTTCACTCCTCTATAGTTACATCTACAGTGCTGCCTCTGAGAAGCCTGGATCTACTGATGTGGCTGCTAAATGACTATGCAGCAGTCTTCCTTCCTGGGCTCCTCTCCAGCTCACCGCTTTACCTTCAGCAAGTGTTTTGTTTTCTGCTCAGAAAGTGTAGTTACCTCATCCTGGAGAGGCCACAACTTTGTGCTGCTTTGATATTTATTTATAGGATGATTTGAAATGTATCTTCCTAATCAAACCAGCTTTTATTTAAGTTTCCAGAGGCTCCTCCGGTTTGGGCCATCAGGAATATGCCCTTATCGTACTTTACTGCTAATGCTGCTGTCTTGAATCAGAACAACTTAAACTCTTAGCCCTGATGTTTCAATCTGCAAAAATGGGGCTGGCAGTCCTTTACTAAGGGGCTATCATCCGGCAAGCTTTCCTCAAGACTTGTTGGCAGGCCATCCAAACTTTCTGCTAGTTGCTCTGTCCTATCACTAACAGCCTTCAGGCAAATGTAAAAGTCCTAAATAAGCCTTATGTGCATATAGTTTATTTAGACAACAGCACTGATTTACATGTTTTTAATATTATGGTTACAGACTTTGAACTTGTAGGAGACTGGATTGTTCATTTATTTTTAGTTTATAAGAAATAAACTAAAACTTAGAGTATTCGGGTAAAATGAAGTTTTAATGCTTTCTTGACTTTTCAGGGTCAAATAGTTACAGAAAATATTAATTTCCCCAATTAGGCTGATAGGAAAAGACAAAATATACATGGGATAAAAAATCTTTTTTGTCACTTGTAACTTTGTGTATTGACTGTATGAAGGGGGAAATTCTGGTTTTGGATCTGGGTTCTAGTTCCAATTCAAGCTCTAATTTTAAAATGTGTGACCTTGAAACCTTAGATGGATCAATTTTCTCATTTCTAAGGAATGGATTTGAAACGCTAGAGCTGGCTGCCTGTAAGAATCACTGAAGATCTTAAACAAAGAACCTGAAAGAAAACAGTAACAATGGCATACTCCTCAGGTGCATTTGAATGGTCAGGTTTGAGACTACTGGTCTTGGATCAGCTCTAATATACGCTTTTCAACTAACTTGTAAACTGCTTGAGGACCAAAACTCTATGTTACGAATGTAAAGTGTTTAGTGTAGTGTTGCCTAGTGCCTAACAATCAAAAACTGAATTGGGTTTCATTTTATATGCTAATATAGTCAGCAGTTTCTGTTTCTTTTGATGCTTTGAGGGACTTTTCTTAAAAGATTTTATTTATTTATTTGTTTGTTTATTTATTTTAGAGAGAGAGAGTGAGCAGAGGGAGGAGCAGAGGGGAGGGTGGGTGAGGGGGAAAGAATCTCAAGCACACTCTGCACTGATCACAGAGCCTGACACGGGCTTGACCTCATGACCCCGAGATCATAACCTGAGCCAAAACCAAGAGTCCCACGCTTAACTGACTGAGCCACCCAGGCACCCCTTCAAGGACTTTTAAATACTGATTATTTTCACATAAGAACTGCCTGGCAATAAAGACTAGAGCAGGTAAAGAATGAACTAAACTAGGATTGCCCAAAAGTGCCTGGAATTTTTTATGGGGTTAGAAATAACAGAGAAGCATATAGGTAAACATATAATTTCAAAAGCAACTGTTAAGCACAATGATAGATGTATGCACAAAGTGGTTCTGTTGGAGCAGCAAACTAGGCAGACTTGTGACTATAATTCTTCCTAATTGTAAGGTGCTTTACCATTTATAAATTGGTATTCAACTACATCATCTCATTTATCCTTACAAAATCTTAGGTCAAATATTACAACCTCATTTGTAAAAAATGAGACAAAGGGAAAGGCAAGACTCAGAGGTCAAATGATAGAATTTCAGAATTGGAAATAACCTCTATATAATGTCCTCTAAGCTTCAGTTATTTGCAAACTACTTTTATTATTTTTGCCATATCTTTCTACCACCCGTACTATGGTTTACCTAGTATTTTTCATTAGTTTGGCACACTTTAACACTTTTTCAGTTGTCCTAGGAAATATTTCTGAACTCACAGGTTTTCTAATAAACATTAATTAAATGTAAATTTTAAAAAATTATTGGTACCATACTTCATGACTCACTCTTCAACACCATACATGAAACTCTTACTTGAAACAACATCCAAATAATCACTCCTTCAGTTTGTTTGTATGTTGCGGTAATCTTAGACACGTTACTTAGTTTCTCCATACCTTAGTTTCCTCATCTTTAAAATGGGGATAATTGAAAAAAATAAAAGAAAAAAATAAATTGGGGATAATTGTACAACCCCATAGGATGTTTGTGTGGATAAATGAGATAATATATGTGAAGCTTTTAGCAGAGTTCTTGACATGTAGTAAGCTCTCAATAAATGCTACCTGTTGTTAACTCTGGATTGCTTTCTTCCCCCTAGTATTCTCATAACTGGAAAGTTCTTTCTTTTCTCTTTCCTTCTTTTTAGAGATTTTATTTTTTAAATAATCTTTTCACCCAACAGGGAACTCGAACTCACAACCCTGAGATCAAGAGTCGCATGCTTGACTGAGCCAGCCAGGCGCCCCTGGACAGTTCTTTCTTAAATCAAACGCCTAACACCTCTCCTATTACGTTCCTCAATTTAACTAAACTGCTAAGAGTTGAAATGAGAACTTTAAAGTGTATAAATGTATACTTATTATTGTTATGTTTTCTATCTCGACTTGCCTTAGATCAGATGCGGTTTTATTTTTTTTGCAGTGGATGTCAAGACTGAGAAAGAACAGCCCTAACCTTGGACAGCTGCCTATTGCACCACACCTTTCCTCAGGCCAAAGCCCAGCACCAGCTGCAGAGTCCCAGGTTCTCAGATCACTTCTGGGAGAGTGCCTTTCCTTGAGATCCTGTCACGTCAGTCTCACGTCCTCCCACCCCGCCTCTCTGGACCAGGTTGGGTTTCCTCCACTACACTGCGAGGGGGAAATCACGTCAGTCCGGCTTATATACGGTCTTCTCAGGGCTTGCTCCTGTCGCCCAATGCCTGGTCAGCTATGAGTTAGGTTTTCGCCTTACCGAAGCGGGGTGACTAAGAGCAAGTACCTCCGTAAAGACGGGCGGTCGCCGTGGTCACTCAGAGCAACAAGCTTTGCTGGCTTAATTGAAGCGTCCGCTGTTTTGCTTCCTGGGAAATGTAGTACCTGAGCTGTCCTCGTCTCTTCATTGCCGGTGTCCGCGGCGGCCGGAAAACTACAATGCCCAGCATGCTCAGCGCAGGAAAGGATGACCCGGGTCAGCAGCTCCACGTGACTACTCACTATGGCTTCCCTGTGCCCGGGCGAGCTGTCTGGTGGTTCGGCGTGATTTATTAGTTCTTTGTGGCAGGGTACCGCTCTTACGATTCCGACATGCAAAAAATCAAATCTCTTATGACCCGACAGGTAAGTAGCGGAGGCTGAAGCGAAGGCCTCCTCCGTCTCTGCTGGTAGAGGAGCCTAGATGTTCTGTCTCTGGGCTGGGGCGGGCGGAGCAATAAGATTTGCTGGCTTAACTGAAGGTATGGCTGGTGGCAGGTATCAGGGGCACTGGGAAGCCGGGGCACACCCTGGAAAACTTACCTGAGCCACCGTGATCTGAGCCCTGCTCAGGCGGGTAGCGGCGTCCCAGAAATATTCCTTTAGATAAGGTCAATGAGCGAGTTTCAATGAGGGCTATCTTTGTCTCCTCTCCTTTTTGCCATCGTTCCAGTGACAGCCCCAGCTACCCTGCAGGGCTCCCTTTATCTAGGCTGTGTGTCGTCTTTGAGCAGGTGGCCGGGGTAGGGAGGTGAGGTCTGTGCAATAGAGATGACTGGAAAGCGTGAAAAAAACGGATGAGTTGAAGACAGAATTGGTAGCTTTATGACTTTGGGCAAGTTCACAAACCTTGTAGCTTAAATTTCCAGATGTGAAAATGAGAATAATAATTATTTTTGTTAATCTTATTTTATAGTTCTATTATGAGAGTCACCAATAATTTAATGTATGTGAAAAGATACTTAAAAAATCGTTGTTATGGCAAAATAATGGCCTTTTATTTTTTGCTGCAATGACAATTCATGAATAAAAACTTTGGCTTTTTTTTTTTTTTTATTCCATCTCATAAATGTTAGGGACTTCCTAATAATGTCTCAGCTTCCTTCAAGGAAGAAGTGGCAGAATTTCCTTTTACACACTTACTGGCTATGATTTGGTTTTAAATACCTTTATTTATTCAACTCTAATAAATTTCACCAGAATTGGCCATTCATCATTATCTTTATATGAAAGAAGTATAATTTAGAATTTTAAATCAGAGAATTTTGAGGACTTTGGAGAATATGGAGGATAATCATTCAGTGAAAGGTTCATTTGTGAGTTTTGTTGTTGATTAGAAGGAGATTACAAATTCCAAATTAAACTCTTATTTGAGAGATAATCTGAATAGGTTACAAATGGTAAATATCTTGTGAAGAATATGTGAATCCTACATGATTATTTTACTCCTTTTAAATTATATTGTTAATGTCATGAAAATAAAATTTTAAAGTTCCTTGAATAATAAAAGATTTAAGTAAGTGGCGATCCCTCACATTTGTTGAGTACTGGTGTTATGGTTCATACCACTTGTTACTTGAAGATGTTTGGGTCCTGCTCCATCCTGCTGGAGCCATGTGACCTTGAGGAAGTCACCAAACTTTTTAAAGCATTTGTTTCCACATCTTTAAAATATAAATAGTAACATGTAACTAATGGGGTCAGCCTGGTGGTGATGTTCATATGATATGATGAAGATAAAGAGATAAAGAAAGGAGTTAACACATCTCCTGGGTCTTACCAAGGAAGTGCTTGATCACAGAGGTCTCCTAAATGTAGTGCAATTGTGAAAATGGTGATTCTTCAGCCTCCATCAGTTGCTTATTGGACTTGAGCAGGTCAAATCAGTGCTTAGTTGGTATAGAAAAAAACTAAAGAACACATACAAAAAGCTGGAACTATACTGTGTAAAAAGTGAGGTAAAATTAGGAGTTTTACATAGATTTTTAAAAAGATTTTATTTATTTATTTTAGAGTGAGCGCTGGAATGGGGGGCAGGGTGGATGAAGAGGGAGAGAATCTCAAGCAGACTCCATGCTGAATGCAGAGCCTGATGTGGGGCTTGATCTCATGATCCCAAGATCATGACCTGAGCTGAAACCAAGAGTTGGACACTTAACCGACTGAGCTACCCAGGCGCCCCTACACAGATTTTAAAAGTCATCCTAATTATGTTTGTTTATGGCTTGACTTCCACATGTTTAATCATTACTAATACACATTTCATGAATCTTTGAGGTATGAAAGTAGGCTGCCACCTGGAGTTACATTGGAGATTTTTATTTAGTACTGTTTATTGGGTTAAATTTAGTAGTATTACAAATAAATATACACAAAGATGTTTCTTTTTTGTAAGGCTAAAGAATATGCTGATAATATCATTAAGGTGGAGAGACAAGAAAGGTCTATGAAACTTAGGTTTTTTGGTATTTCAGCTCTGCAAGGATCTTGGTGTGGAAAAGAGTGGGAGGATGGGCTTTGTAGGCACTCTTTATTTAGATGAGGTCTGTTGTTCAGCTTTCTCTATTATGCTGGCCCTCTGTTCCTTCAGTTCATTCAACAAATGTTTACAGAGCACTATGTGCCAGGCACTATTCTAAGTTTGGGGGTGTAGCAGTGAACAAAACAGACAAGTGCTCAGGCAGACATAGGGATTAATGCTTAGGAGGAATAGGGGATAGGGAGGCCTGGGAGTTGTTGGCAAATTGGGATCATTTATAATTTTAGATAGTTTGGCCATGGAAGGTCTCACCGAGAAGGTGACATTGGAGTAAAAACCTGAAGGAAGTGAGGAAGGGAACTATGCGGATATTTGGGAAGGAGCATTCCGGGTGGAAGGAAGAGCAAATGCAGAGGACTTGAGGCAGGAACATGGCTGAGGAACAGCCAGACGCCAGTGTGGGTGGAGTAAAGTAAGTGAGGAGAAAACAGTAGGAGATGAGGTCTGGATGAGGTCAGAGAGCTGAGAGCAGGAAGCCAGGTCACACAGGACTTCATTTTGACCTCATCTCCTACTACTTTTCTTCTCACTAATAGCAAAGCCATGCTTCTATTATGATTGAAATAGCAAGCAGAGGCTTGATCTCATTTTACATAAATGGACTTCAGAAAGATCTTTCTGGCCTCTTTTAAAAGAATAGTTTGAAGAGGGAAAAAGAGCAAAACCAGGGAGAACAAAAAGGATGCTGTTGCAGTAATCTGAATGAGAGAATGTGTGGGCCTTAACCAGAGTGTTAGTGATGAAAGGGTTGAGAAGAGGTTAGATCATTTGTATATTGTAAATATAGAGTTGACAGGATTTCTTGGCAGATGGTATTTGGGCTGTGAGAGAAAGAGAAGCATCAAGGTTGATTCCAGATGGTTTGGCCCCAGCCATTGGAATTGCCATTTAACGAAGTGGGTAAGGCTGAGGAAGGAACAGATTCAGGAAAGGCAGAAAGTTTTTAGACTTATTCATTTGAAAGCCTCTTTTAGATATTTAAGTGGCGAGATAAAATAGGCAGTTGGCTAAGAGTCTCAATTTCTGAGGAGAAACACAGGATATGGATACAAATTTGGGACTTACAAGCACATATAAGGTACATAAACTGGCTACGATCACCAATGGAATGAGTGTGGATATAAAACGGGGGTCCACACTTGGAACATTTGAGATTTCAGTGTTACAAGGTTAGGGGAAGAGGTGGATCTAGCGAGGCAGATTGAGAAGGAGCAGCCAGTAAGGGAGGACTGCAGCATCTCAAAGATCACCTGTCCCGTATCAGATGCTCAGTAAATATTTTTTGGATACATGGTGGATAAAGAGATAAAGAGCTACCAAGTAGAGTGGAAGCCCGAAGTAAAAAATTTAAAAGAGAAGGGAGTGATCAGCTGTGCTAACTGCTGCAGATGGGTGGCTGAAGATGAGAATGAGCCTTTGGACTGAGCAGCATGGGGGTCATCAGGTACCTGATAGCAGCACTTTTCATGAAGTGATGGGGAGGAAAGCCTGATTAGGGTGGGTTTAAGAGAAATTGAGGACTGAGTATAACCACTATGTTGAATTTCGCTGAAAAGAGAAGGAGGCAGAAATCACCTCACATGCTCCTTTTGATCTTTGGGACATAAGTTGCTGGTCTCATAAATGGAAATAGAAGATTCATGTAGATATAACAGAAGTAGTCTGAAGTGTTAATCTTCTTTGAGAAAAGAAATAAAGTGCAGAGGCAGGTATTATTTATGCTGAATTTTGTATAAATTTAAACTGGAGAAATTTATCCAAACAAATACCAAATACCAAAGAAAATCAATAATGGTTAATGATTTTGTAAGCGCAGAATACCATAGTTATAACCATGACTTTCTGCTTTAGAGAAGTGAGGATAAAAATCATGACTTCATTTTTGTCAGTAGAAATTTATAAAATTGCTAATCAAAGGCTTTAAGATCTATAACCCTAAAATACACGTCAGATGTGCTCTGAGACATTTATGTAATTCTTTATTTCAGTTTTGATAAAAGAAAAGCATTTCTCTGTGATCACAGTAATAGAATAATGGTTAGCACTTAAAGAATGCTTGCCATGTACTAGACACTGTTTTTGGCCTCTCACATACATTATCTCCTTTACTCCTTATTATTGGCCTCTGCATTATTGTCACATTCATTAGAATATAAAGATGGGCAGGTTAGATAAGTTGTTCAATACCACGGGGCCCATTCCCTGAATCACTGAGCTCCCCTACTTCCTAACATGTAACAGGGTTTCCAATTTTTACTTCTTTTATTTTGTACATTTGGTAGAAAGTTGCCATATATAAGTAGCAAATTATTGTTGTATGGGGTGACTAATTTGGAGATAAGGCCTTTTCCTATATATTGATATACATTCTTCTTTACATTTCAGGCATTGGTTTCTTTACTGAGTAGCTCTGGGGAGAAAGAAAATTACCTGTGATATATTCCTCCAAGAATTTCTGTTAGATTGGATAAACACATCTATAGTTTTAAAAATATTTGTTTAAAAGGCATGGCAGGTGCACCTGGGTGGCGCAGTAGGTTAAGTGTCCAACTCTTGGTTTCTGCTCAGGTTGTGATCTCAGGGTCGTGAGATTGAGCCCTGCATTCGGCTCTGCACTCTGTGGAATCTGCTAGGGACTCTTTCTTTCTCTCTCTCTCCCCTTGCCCCTCCCCTTGTGCGCTCTCTCTTTCAAATAAGTCTTTAAAAAATAAAAGGCATGGCAGTTATATTTTAAAAATATATTTTGGAGTGGTCATGATTTTGAATCAAATTATGAAGTTTTGCACTCGTGTGTATGTATATGTGTGTGTATATGTGTGTATGTGTGTGTATGAGAGGGAGAGAAAGAGGGATAGAGAGAATATGAGAGAATGAAAGTGAGAGAAGCCTGGGTGGGGTGTTCTGGGAGTAGTGGAATAATTAGGGGTGAGGCAAAGCACCTTATCTTAAAAAAATGTAGTTATGGCTGGTCATATTTTATAATAGGGAAGATAGAATACATAGCTCTATAATTTAAAAATAAGTAAGTTCTGCTGTAAGTCTCAAATAGTCAACCTAAGTATGCCATATGTTTTGGTAACTGAGGACATCATAGGGCAAATATAGGGCATCTAAAGGACAAAAATGCTCTTCAGATTTATGTACCAGCTAATTTTGTTTACAAACTAATATTACAGGGACTTTAGATATCTGCTTTGAAGAGCCTATATTTAAAAAGAGCTTTCAAAGAAAAGTGAGATTGCTAACTTCTTTCTGTCTTGATAACTTTCCTTGGTTCAAATGAGATTTTCAGAATCCCTCAGTTGATGTGAATATAGAAATTACTGGGTATCAAGGAGCTAAAGAACAGTAGAAAGCAGCAAGACATGAGATTGAAGTCCCATGAGATTGAAGTATAAATTGGGTACATTGGTGAGAAATAATCAGGTAGAATCAAGGGTATTTATGTATTAATTAAGCAATTGGCATTATTTAGAAGTCTTTGATTAGCTAGCTGGTTGCTATATTATATCACAGAATCATAATACTTGGTCCTTCTTATCAGGTGAATTTGATAATGTTTAATATATAAGTGCTTTTATAGAATGCTTTTTGTCACCCAATTTTCTTGTCTGTTGGTTGTTTTTAAACCATGGTTTAGCTAGACTTCAACCATTAGTTGTGAAGCTGCCATATAATACTTTTAAACTTCCAAAGTACATCTTTACTTGATTTGATAATAGTACTATATGTATTAAGTGACAGTTGTTTTTAGAAGACATGTTCTATATATTTTAAAGCAGGAAACTTCCTATTTTTAAAATGGTGATTTCTATTTTAATAAGTATGTTCTATCATTTTACAGTTCTGCAGCATAATTAAAATTCTTTTTATTTTATTATTACTATTTTTTTAAGGGTCTGAAAAGCCCTCCGGAAAGCCTTAGTGATCTTGGTGCCATTGAGAGTCTCCGGGTCCCTGGAAAGGTATTGATCTACATGTGTGAGCGTGACTTTTCACTTCCTTAAGAAATAATATTGCCTTTGGATAATAATTGATTCACAGAAGCTATTCCTTCCCACAGGCAGATGGTAGTTATGATAGAGCTAGGTAAATTTTTATAGTATAGTAGGCTTGGGGCTTGTTTTTGCTTTCATTCCTCATTGGGATGCAGTATGATTTATTATAGTGAAGCAGAAAATGCAAAATTGATAAATTTAGAGTTTATTATTGTATCAACTTTTTAGCCTGAAAGCAGTTTTATACACACACACATATATATGTATGTATGTGAAACTTATTGATTTTTCTGCTGTAATTTGGAGAAATAAAATGAAATAATTTACTTTTTATGCTGTAACACTGTGAGTCAAAAATCATCGTTAATTATGTTTTTGTTATGGAGCAGATTTTTGAGCAGGTAGCTAAAGCATAATTTATACTAAATTGTAGCTATCTTAGATTTTAATCCCCTGATTTATGTGAACTTCTCAGTTTACAAATTTAATAGGTGTTATTTGAAAGCTAGCTGGCTTTCCCTCAGGAGAATTATTAACCATTGTAAAAAAAAAAAAAAAAAATCCCCTGCTGTTTCTCACTCCAGGGTGTTGCCACTTAGAGCTGCCTCCGTGAATAGCAGCTCCATCACAGATCAAAGGGTCTTCTGAATGTCTGCTCTTGGGATTTTCAATTTGAGGATCATATTTGAAAGTACTATTTGTTTTCTGTTTCTGGCATCTTAATACATAGGGCTTGTTTCTCTTGGTCAGCAATCATAAGGCCTGTCGTGACTCCTCAGTGTCAGCTGCTCAGGAGAGTGATTTTCCACCCCTATGAGGAGTCTTACCCCTTAACGTGAATTTTGTATTTATAGCTTAGCTTTAATTTTGGGTCAGGCTCAAACATATTCTCCAAATGTGATAAAATTCTAACCAGCCCATTTGCATGAAATGAGTCAGACAAAAAGCTTAAAGAGGCATTTTGAACAGTTTTGTTTGTTGTTATAAGAGATTGTTGCATCTGCTGAAATTGGGCACTAAGCCATAACCATAAATCCTAATTGAAAAATAATTCTTTTTATTTCTTTGACTCAAGAAAAGAGATCATGCATTATGAACATGCCTTGAATTAGATTGCATTAGATGTTTCAGAACCAGTGTAAAATTGATGGTGAGCCTCTTTAAAAAATACATGAATGTATTGCATAAGAACGTTCTGTTGTTTTTAAACCTTGCATGAACTTTTGTTGTCTTTAAACCATGCACCTTGATGTTTTTCCAGTAGGGGTAGGTAGTGAATTTATAATGATCTCATTACCCAGTCTTCTCACTGTCCCGTCACCCCAGCCCCATCCGTGGCCTGCAATGTGTGATTTGAGATGCCTGGCTCTGGGTAGAGAGGCCAGTCTGGGATCACAAGGTCAGCAAATGTAAATGCTTCAGGTGATGATTAAGCTTGGGGCATTGGTCTAAGAAGCTAAGTTGTTAAATTGTAAAACAGTTAAGAGCAAAATTAGGATCAGTGCAATCAGCTTAAATGTAGCCTCATGCTAAGAAAGCTCATAAGCTCTTTGTGCTTGTTCTCTCTCTGCGTTCTCTTGAAACATCACAAGTGCTATAGGGTGAGTTGTAGTTTTGATTTGCATTTCCCTGATGATGAGTGGTGGTGATATATATTTTTACATGATTTGTTTTTATACACTTGCCTTAAAATTAATGTCATGGCTAATTCTTGATAAACTGAACTTCTATGGCTTCAAAAGATGACCTTTATATTGAATTTTTCAAATTATTAGAAGTATTTCTACAAAGTCTGAAACATTAATTTGAAATGATTATTTTTTTATTTTTACTTTTTAAAGATTGATTTGTTTATTAGAGAAAAAGAGAGAGTGTGCACGAGCAGGGGTAGAGGGAGAGGGAGAGAGAATCTCCAGCAGACTCCCCACTGAGCACAGAGCCGAAGGGTGGGGGTGGGGGAGGCTCCATCTCACAACCCTGAGATCATGACCTGAGACGAAATCAAGAGTCAGATGCTTAACTGACTGAGCCACCCAGGTGCCCTGAAATGATTATTTTAAAATAACCTTTTCCTGTAATAAAAATAATATATAGTGTAAATAGAAAACACGGTAAACAGAAAAAGATACCTAAGGGAAAAAATCACAAAATCACCAACATAGTCAAGTTTAACATTGCCTTTTGGTCTTTTCCCTATTATATTCAAAAATGTATTGAGCATGTGTTTTGTGCTAGACATTCTCTAGGGACTGAATAGTAGTGAAAAAGACAAAACTCTGTTGCCAGGGAACTTAGTTCAAGTGGAGGGAAGACAGGCACTAAACAAGATGATTGCAAAGTCTGACAGATACTATAAAGGAAATAAGGTGATAAGTTAAACTGAAGCCAGAGGCTCTTTTTTTTCTTTTTCTTTCTTTTTTTTTTTTTAAAGATTTTATTTATTTATTTGAGAGAGAGAGAATGAGAGACAGAGAGCACGAGAGGGAAGGGGATCAGAGGGAGAAGCAGACCCCCCGCTGAGCAGGGAGCCCGATGCGGGACTTGATCCCGGGACTCCAGGATCATGACCTGACCTGAAGGCAGTCTCTTAACCAACTGAGCCACCCAGGTGCCCGCCAGAGGCTCTTTCACATAGAGTAGTCAGTGTAGTTCCCCTCTCCTCCATTTTTTTTTTTCAAAAATATTAAATCCTATAAATTATTCTGAAGTTTGGGTTTTAAAGTTAGTAAAATGTATTGCAGAGAAAATGCTTACAGTATAATACTAGGTTTGAAAAGCAAGCTACCCAGTAGTTTGGCTTGGGTAGATATTTCTTGAACTTAATTTATACCTGTTATATTGTCTGTTATCAAAAAAGACAAGAAAGAAGTTGGTGAGGATGTAGAGAAAAAGGAGCCCTTGTGCGCTATTGATGGGAATATAAATTGGTACAGCCACTATGGAAAACAGTATGGAGGTGCCTCAAAAAATTAAAAATAGATAATAATAATAATAATATAGAGAGTTTAACAGAAAAAAATTATAAATATAATTACTGTATGATTCAGCAATTCCACTTACAAAGAAAATGAAAACAATAAGTTGAAAAGATATATTCGCTCCCAAGTTCATTGCAGCATTATTTACAACAGCGACGACGTGGAAATAACCTAAAGTGTTCATAGATGGATGAATGGATAAAGAAAGTATATGTGTGTGTGTGCGTGTATGCACACGCACACATGCAAGCATAGGATAGACCTTGAGGGCATTATGCTGAGTGAAATAAGTCAGAGAAAGACCATATGATCAAATACTATGTGATGTCACTTATATGTGGAATCTAAAAACAAAACAAAACAGAAACCAGTTCACAGATACAGAGAACAGATTGGTGGCTACCAGAGGCAGTGGGGAGGGGGCAAAATGGGTAAAGGGGTCAAAAGGTATAAACTTGCAGTTAACAAAATAAATAAGTCATTGGGATGTAATATATAGCATGGTGACCATAGTTAATAATACTGTGTTGCATATTTTAAAGTTGCTAAGAGAGTAGATCTTAAAGTTCTCATCTAAGAAAAAAAATTCTGTATGTCTGGTGATGGATGTTAACTAGACTTATTGTGATGATCATGTTGCAGTGTATACAAATACTGAATTATTATGTTGTACACCTGAAACTAATATAATGTTGCATGTCAATTGTACCTCTCAATAATAAAAAAAATGCCTCACTGTCTTAGTTTGGGTTCCCCTGATATTCTAATGCAAGAAGTAAAAAACAAACTCAATTTATGCTATTTAAGTAGTCAATGTAAATACTTGTATAGTAAAACTTTTAAACGTTAACTTCATCTAATAGCTCTAACGCACTCACGTATACGTATGTAGAACATTAAAAAAAAAGGCATCCTTGGTCTTTAGGTATGGACCCATTTCTTCTTCCCTTTCTTGTCATAATGTCTAAGTTGTGATAAGGAATTGAGATTTCAGTGGAGTTGTCAAGAAAGAAGTAGTTTAGCTTGGGTTGTGTTATGTTAAAGGTTCTGGTATTGGGGCACCTGTGTGGCTCAGTTGGTTAATAAGCATCTGACTCTCGATTTCAGCTAAGGTCATGATCTCAGGGTCATGAGATCGAGTCCCAAGTCGGGCTCCACTCTCAGTGGAAAGTTGGCTGGAGATATTCTCCCTCTATCTCTCTCTCCGTCTCCTCCCTCCCTCTCCCTCTCTCTCCCCCCGCCCCTCCCCCCGATTGTGTGCGCTCTCTGTCTCTCAAATCTCTCGATCTCCAATAAATAAATGTTTTTTTAAAAGTTCTTGTATAAAGAATAAATAGTAGGGAAATACTAGGATGAATCATAGGAAATGGCTGTTTCTTTGAGTTAAAAATAATCTAATACTGGCAAATTTCATATGGTGCAACTCACTAGAAAGAGGAGGATGGTGAAGGAAAACTGAAGGGTGTTAGGTGTGCTTGAGAATCCAGAAAGGACTGTTGAATGATATTTTTTTTGAGAACTATATAAATTCTGAGTGGGAAGAAACCTTAGAAATCATCTGGTACAATTTCTGCATTTTATGGACAGGATGACACTGTATCCCATTTTAAGACATGTGAGTCAAATAATGATCCATATACTGAAAATTTGGAATTTTGGTGGAGAAAATAGAAAAAAAAATTAGGATTCTTTTCAGAACTTTCTATAGAAAAGGAAACTTTGAGAGTTCAAAAATCTCAGCTTAAATTGTTCAGAGCCAATGTCAGTGGTGTACAAACTTTGCTGCATATTAGAATCACTAATAACCAGGCCCTACCCCATTCTAATTAAGTCACAGTGTGTGGGGTGGAGCCAGGTACCATCAGTAAAGTTTAGAGATTCCCCAGGTGATTCCAATGTGGAGCAGCGTTTGGGAAGTTTTGCCAAGTGGAGGACGTGATGACAAGAATGGAGAAAGGGGAACCACAGGAATTGTTGTAGAAAAAGTTT